AGGTTGGAAGTTGTGTTCAACCAATCTTTTTACTAAACCGACCTAATTTTCCCAATCTATATTTTTACTCGGGCAAAAGAATGCAGTTTAGTCTCATCAGCCAAAATAATTAAGTTTAATCGCAACTTTCAAAAGAGAGAGACAGGTCTTGAACCATCAACCTCTAGGGTGAGAGTCTGTTCCTTACAGAGGACGCCACTTATGTAGATGGTCTGTGGTGGGAGAAAATACTTCTTAACACTGACATGTTAACACTGGCTTTGTCTGGTGGTTTGCTCAGATATTGATCATTACATTGTTTATTCAAACCAAATTAGCTTTAAGTAACTAGATTGGTTGGAAAAACAACCAATTTATTCTTAGAATCTATCCAAACTTTATCCAACTGAGAGCAGCTCTCCTCCAATCTCCCACATCTTGACTGAACACTGAGGCTGTTTAAATGCCTTTCAAAATTCTTGCGCTTCCTGAACCACTTACCGAAGCGGTCACGTGGTATCACGGTAGCGAGGCCTCGGACGTCATCAATTTTGGCCCCTCCTCTAAATGAATCACGCCTCGACACGCGCATCAGGGAAACGCCCCCTCCATTACTCGACACACGCCTCGAAGCCTCGGCTCATCTCATAACATCACTACCAAATAGGTTAAATATATAAATAATTAGATGTGAAAAGAGCTGGCCCATTTTAAATGATTGCATCACAAATGGCTAAATAAGCTGTCAGCATGGCAACCATAGCAGCACTGGACCACATAAGTTTGGTGAGAATCACATTCAGGCTTTGCTGCATATGACAAGAGCATGTTTCCAAAGTTAGGGTGTTTTAACATGACATGTTTAGGGCTGCGACGATAGTTATTTTGCTAATTCGTTAATTTGTCCTTTTTTTTTTTTACAATTATTTAATTAAGATTTTCTACAGAGTTTAACCAGATGAAGCTAAAACTGCTCCAATAAAAGGGTTTCTGTTTGAGCATATATTTATAGATGCAAAGGTTTTTCATCTAAATAACTTTTACATACATACATACATGCATATATATATATATATATATATATATATATATATATATATATATATATATATATATATATATATATAAAAATGTTCTTCCAATTTGGTGTTAATAACAGCTCTAAGTGGGTTGATCTTTCAGTTAATGGCATGTGTAATAACCCTTTCGCATTGGCCGAAAAACCAATTTAGACCCAGGAACAGTTGGCTTTTAGTGCAAGTGGGAGCAGCTCACTGACGCTTGTCTAACCTGATTGGCAAGCAGCCCGCGTAAAAATCTCCTCGGCCACCCTTTATTCCCACTTTTTAACCAACTTGATTAATATTTAATTTGTTTCATCAAACTGTGCAATGTCGACCTTTTAGCTGCGAGCGCCATTGTTATCCTCCTTCCACCAAACCTGTCATTTATTATTTTGTGTCCTAGGACCCTCAAGGACGTCATGTAAAGACCTACGAAGTTTCTCTCAGGGAGAAGGAATTTAACAAAGGCCCCTGGAAGCAGGAGAATGTGGAGGCTGAGGCATCCATGGTTATTCCAGGTAAATCAATACTAACAATGTCTCTTAGTTGTTTTTTCTGGTTTACATATCTTTGATGGGGGGAAAGAAAGAGAACCTGGGAAAATGCATAATCTAAGCTGAAATCAGTAGAGTAATGTAGAGTAGATATACATTGATCAGCAACCTGGACTCTTATGCAGCTTTTGAGCTCAGACGAAGCTTTATGCTCATATTTTTTTGTGGTGAACAATAATTCATTAGCATATTAATAACCTGATTCAATAACCGTAATATGGTATGTGCTATATTTCAATATTTATTACAGTCTATGATTACAGCATTTGTTGCTGACTGACATTCAGCGTTTGACATAGTTTCATCCGTTTTTTGTTTTTTTTCTAAATTAAAGTAAAATAGAGGATTTTTATGAACCGGAAAATAATTCCCATATGTTTCTGTAGGCATCTCTTGTGTGCATTCTTGGCCATCTTTATGAGGCTTTTATTTTATTTATACCAATATATAAATTATAGAGTATCGAATGAAATGTATAAACCTATGATCGTATAATGTCTCATTTCCTGCTCCACTTCGTTTTTTGTTATTTTTTCATGAATTTTGTGGCTCACACCTTTAAAGTCTGGGCTGTATCCTTAAACTTTGGACAAGTTAAAAAGTTGTGTGCAAATTCTGGGAATTAACAATGAATTCTCTTCCTTTTCTGCTTGTATTTTAGTGCCAGAGCCATTTGGTGGCGCTATAATCATTGGACAAGAGTCAATTACCTACCACAATGGAGACAAGTACCTGGCCATTGCACCACCAACAATCAAGGTAAACAAAAAAAAATCCAATAGATTTAAAATATTCAGTTTTTTTTACTAGTGTTAAATATTAAGAGAATTCCTTAACTTTCTTGTTTCATGTTAAATATCTGTTCCTGCTCCCCTTTAATCGAGATGAATTGGTCCAGATGGCAGCTGATGATATGATGCAAATTAAAGATTGATAACAGCACAGGGAGCAGTGGACACTTTTGTTTTCCTCCTGTAGACTGAAGAAAAGGCTAATTGAGGTCAATTAAACCCAGTTGCACTGGAAGCAGTTCAGTTAGCGCTGTTATCTCCTGAACATCTTTAATGTGTGTGAAAGGTGGAGTCCTGTCAAAGATGCATACAAGCTCTGCACAAAAACCCGTTTTAATTGTATTTTTTAAGTAGGAATATCTTTGTGCAACTGTAAAAACAACATTGCAGCTTTGACCACTGTTTGATAATGATAATGATTTTGACCCGATAACATATAAGTGTGAATTATACATACCTTTATTGCATTTCTTCTAGTGTGGAAAGTTAGAAAAGTTTTGATCAAGTGAAATTACCTAAAAAGAACAATAGTCATAACAATAGGTGTGAGAACAACTGACTATTATAAAACTTTTTGAAACATTAGACGGAAGCATTGTGTTTTATCAGCATGCCAAATAATAAAAATGCACCGATTCGGTTGTTTCCGATACTGATGTCTGGGCTGAGCCTAATGGTCGATACAATCCGATTCAACTGTTGAATGAACCATATATCTTACCATTAGAGATGTTTCAATACCATTCTTTCTCAATACTAGGGGTGAGTATTTCCATGGGTGTTGAGATACGATACATGTCATGATACGATATTAACATTATATTGCACTTTAACTATATATGCCAATATTGTTCCCAGCTATCAAAGTTAAATATATAGACAAAAAGGAAAGTGCTGTATATGTTCATCAGGAGATATCGCTTGTTTAAGTTATTTTGGTATCCATGTTAAGGGTTTGAGTCGGTCCACTTCTTCTACTGTGATTAACTAGATATGGCACTGCACCGCACAGCAAACGGAATCCACAGCTCTAGCTGAAAATTTCCCTCATTGCTTTAGGTAAAATGTGTAGCTTTTAAAAAAAATCGATATCAGTAACTAATAGATCAATATTAGTACCCAATACAGTTCCGATGCTTGTGTTGTATCAGCTGATACAGAGTACCGATATTGGTTTGTTACAAAAATATATATAATCATACTACGCCTGCATGTCTGTGATCAGATTATCATTGTGGTGAGGCCTTGCTGAGGTTAAACCCTTGAATGGGAACATGAATGAATACAGCAAATGTAAGCTATATGATCAGCTCTTCACTCGTCTAAGGCAGCAGGTAAAAGCACAGCGCAACTCTTTTAGGAGCGGCAAAGACGAACTGTGTCAGAACTAATGGAATCAACCTGTAAATTTAAATTCTAATTTAAAATGACATGCTATCGGATCGGTGCCTGAACCCCAATGCTCAACGATACCAATGCCAACATTCTCTGCAGTGTCTGAGACATTTCAGATACTGGAATCGGAACAACTCTGTTTAACATGTGAATGAAGGCTTTAGCCTTGTAGTAAACATTGTTAAAAGTAATTAAATAAAACGGATATGAATGTAATATGTTAACAAGAGCAACAAAGCCAAAGAAGTAATACTGAAGTGCACTGGATGGGATCTGCGATAACTAAAATTAGTCACAATAATCTGATCCACCTCATTAGTCAATATTGGATCCAATATCCGATCCAAGTATCGGATCAGTGCATCTCTGCTAATTATGGAGATTTTGGGTGCAGGCTGATTTAATCTGATATTAGTTTTTAAGCCTGGTATCAGATTGGGACATCCTGATGAATAACAAGAGAATTAGTAGAAGGCAGAAAAAAAGTCTTCTAAAAGAATAAGGCAAAATTTTTATTTTATTTTTATTATTTGGTCAAATTTGTTGTGATTTTGCCTGTAGCAAGTGTTTTGACTCGTTAAGAATCTGTTAATTGGTGTCAAATTGCATCCAGAGGCAGCTTCTTAAACATAACTTCCACTTCCTTAGTGCTCTTAAGCTGAACTAGCAGTGTGTAGCAGTTGTAACACATCCTCAATGCCCAGAGGAGCTCTTCAGCTGCCTCTTGCTTCTATAATTAGCGGCTGATCTCTTTGCGTGCTGCAGAACCAAAGTTTCATACATTTTGGGGGGAACATTTATATTCTGCTGATGTAGAAGTCTCTAATTTGGAGTTACGCAGCTGTTATCCTCCTGTGTCTTTGTTATGGAGCCTTTGGCTTTGCTGCTTAGTAACTTATCAGTCTGACTGGGGGCTCTCAATGGTTCATTCATGCAGCAGCAGCCTCTTTGTGATTTCACACATTTGACTGAGGGAAAAGGTGTCTGTTGGGATCTAGCTGTTGTTGTTTAGGATTAAGGAATGAGATTCTTTATTGATCCATTTTTATAAAATCCTGTAGATGTTTTAATATGTTTAACCTATTAGGCAGATGCATGTTTTTTTTTTTTTTTTTACATTTGTTTTGTTGCTTTTACACAATCTTCAGTCTTTTGTTTAGGAAGATCTTAACAGAATAAACCATTTGATCCATCTGTTGTTTCATGAACTTAAATAGGCATCCTGCTGGTCTGCTCCATCTTTAAAAGCTTCCAGCAGCCTCTGGGATTATGCAGCTGTTCCAGCTCCACACCAGCTTCATTTATAGATGTGTTGCAGGAGGTTTAGGGATAGATTTGAAAAGTGAGATCTGATATAGATCAGAAATGTGTGAATGTTACTCATCAGTGTTGAGTTAAACTAGACTTTTGATTGGCTAATTTAGTTGAAAAATACTTGGAGCAGGAAAAAAACAGGATAGAGAAGCCAGTAGGAATATTTGTAAAATTAGCGTTCACCTGTAGTCACTTCTTTAAAAAACTGGTTAATTTGATTCAGTTTATAGGAATATTAGTTTTAAACAGCCACTGCAATAAAAGTAGATGCAAAGTTTGACATTGTAAGATGGCGATTCTTTGTGAAGGTAAAAGTAAAATAGGAAATTGTCTCATCTTGTGCCAAGGAGAATGACAACATCGGAGGCGGCTCTGATTATCATCAGTGGAAGCCAGCCTCAAAAAATATTGTTTAATTGAGTTATATTTGTCTCTAAATCCCTGCAGGAACACATCAGAAGCATTATTTTTTTTTTTTTTGTTCAGCATTCGAAGCTGTTTTATAAATTTTACGCGTATATTTTTTCAGCAAACAGTATTTGAGTTGCATATAGTAATTCTTAAATATTTTAATAGGATCAAAAATTTTGTTTGGAAAAACTGAAAATAAAACATTTTATATAAAAATAGGTTAAAAGTAATTTTTTCACAAGTAGTGACTGCAGCTCGGGTTATCAGGACACAGCCTCGGCATTTTCTTTCCATGTCTTGAGCTTTATCTGAACCACAGAATGTCTCAGAAGATGCCTACATGGGTTAAGAAGAAAAAAGAAAATGTCTGTCCTTTTTTAGAGTCAAAGCCAGTGAAGCCTCTGGGAAGATTTTAGAGCTCTTAATTCTTCGCTCTGCTAACAAACACTGAGGACCTGGCACTTTCCTGAACTCCCAAAAAATAGTGCCAATACTTGCTTTAATGACCTTTGCAAACCAATCACTCTGCTTCATTGGCCAAGTTTCCTGACAAGCGGAATGCTGTTGTTAAAGCAGCATGGGCCTTTTTTTTAACACCTCAGCAGTGTTGCAGACTTGTCGCCTGTTTCTCCCCCTATTGAGGCAATAATTCATGCATAAGGTGCATAGACCAATTATTACATAAAACAAACAATGCATGGAGATAATTAAAAAAATCTTGTTTTATGGGCCTTTAAAAATATGCTGACAAAATGTTGAGTTTTATAAGAATGTAATAGAATAGAAATGACTTTAGTTGTTCAACATCGGGGAAATGTTGTGTGATAGTGGCAAGAGTAGGTAAAACCACACAAACACAAGACTATAAAGAACAGCTTTAGCTATGATCCTAAAATAGATCACCTTTGTTTTATGTGACTTTAAAAAAAATTGGACTTAGCCAGTGTTCAGCACTGCTGTTATTGCGTAGCTTGGCCTCCAGGGGGCACTAAAGGTACTCGGGGATCTTTAAGATGTTCTGCATTGAACAAACTCAATATTGTTGGTTTAAATTTGTATTTCAGCTGCTGTGTCCGTCTGAATCATGTTGCCTCCAGAAATAACAACAAAAAGTTGTTGCTACCTTAGAAAGGGGTTCAGCACTGAATCAAATATAGCGTTTTAGATTTTAGGTTCTTAATAAAGTGGTGAATGATCAGATTACTAGGATAGTTCTAGGAGAGAGTATTTTCTGTATAAAAAATATTTATGTCCTTTGCAGTATTTAAATAAATACTCTGTCCTGTTCCTTAATTTTTATTTACAGCTGCTTTGTTTTCCTCCAAATTAAATTGAGGACTATTTGAAATCTGCTCCAGTTTGTGTTGCAGAGAAGAGGTAAATTAGAAAGTGATTCAATATTTCCCAAAGGGAATTTAGGTTCGTGCAAAAGAAGTATTACTACAAAGGAAACTCTTCCATCAGAAAATAAAGTGTTGTTACATTAAAGCACAATGTGCAGGAATGACCTCATGTAGTTATTCTTGTTCTAGCAGAACTAAGGAAGAGTAAAATGCATCTAAAGTGCTGTATGAAAGGCTGGTAGAGACGCATCAGACTCCTGAGTGTCTGTGTGCGGTTATGTCCCTCTGAAACACAGGATAAAGCTCTCCCGGTGTTTTGTCCCCGTCAGCTTCAACACCACTTTCACACATTCCCAAAGCTCGTCAAGGGTAGGAACTACTTGAAATTCTCCCTACGTGCTCTCCGTTTTCTCTGAGGCTGCTCACATGCATAGAATTGATATCTAAAGAGGCAACCACACAAAAAAAAAACCCTCATAGTGATAAAGAAAAGCATCACTTATGTAGCTTAAAACATGCCATCTGCCTGATCTGTTTCAAACCTATTTTGACAAAAGAGGAGAGGAATAAAAAAAAGTTTTTGCACAATTTACAGACTGGTCAGGATGGGAGACTTGTTTGACCTTTCTCATTAACATAGAAACAGGGAATATATTATCTTTTATGGTGCCTGTTAAATTTATATGGTGTTCTAGTTTTATTTCACACACAAAACAAATGTAAATCATTAGTCCTGCACAGTTGAACTAGAGCATAGGGTCTTTGATGAGTGTTGGAGCCCTCATGCGTAATATCCATATTCCAGGTAGAGTTTCTTTGAACCAAGGTGTGGACTGCTATGTTGAAATTGCATTCCATTAGGACTATTCACACTGCAGTCTGTCGACCACAGTGAGAGGTTAAATCATTTTGCTTTGGAAGAAAAATTTTCTTTTGCCAACTAATGTGACCTGCAGCCCCGACACTCAAGATAGTACAATTAAGTTTGTCCAAGACAAGATTTAAAGCTTTTTTCGCCCTTGAAAAGCTAGATTATTAACAAAAAGCAGATTAATCGGTCTGGCTGTTAACTCCCTGCCCGACCTATCTGGCCAAATCACAGCATAACCAAGATTTTGTTGTTACCTTTTATCCAAACAGCCTTTTGTTCCTATTAAGTCACAGATTGACTGGACATTTTGGTTTATTTTTTTTGTCAAAGAAAAACACAACAAAAAACTGTTGGAAGTCCTCAGTTGGGCTGCAGCTAATGATTATTTTGCTTATCGATTAATCTGTTGATTATTTTTCCTCGATCAATCGATTAAAAAAAATCAGATGGCAAAAGGTTTCTTAAAAAATATTTTTTTTAGAGGATTGAAACCAGATGACACTAAAACTGTTCCGCTTGAGGAATTGTGGGTAGAGCATTTCGATGGACAAAAAGGTTTTATATCCTAAATGCAAAAATGTTTTCTTTTTATTTTTTTCAAATTTGGTTAATTACCGTTGAATGGGTTCCTCTATCAACTAAAAGCATGTCTTTGTACTACAGTTACATCAATCGATTACTAAATTAGTTGACGATTATTTCAATAATCCTGTTTAATCCAATTAATGGTTTCAGCCCTAGTCCACAGACCGCTGTGATGTCATCTTTATACCCAAAGCAAGAAATTCATTGATTAATCATTAGAAGTATCTATATGTTTTGATAATTTGGATTATTTTGAAAGGATTTCTGGTGGGAATAGTAATTGTTGTAAATTTAGTAACGGTATTCTTCCTCCAGATTTTTTCTTGTTGTTGCTGCCTGGTTTATAAACATACTCTGAAGAACTGAATGTTTTTATGATGACATTCTATATTTCTTTACGGCGGATCTTGTTTTATGAATACAGATATCATTTCTGAGGCTTAAAGACTTTTATGTTATACTTTTTGGATTTATTTTTCTATTCATTCATTCTGTCTTTCTTGCAGCAAAGCACCATTGTCTGCCATAACCGGGTGGACCCCAACGGTTCACGCTACTTGCTAGGAGACATGGAGGGCCGCCTGTTTATGCTGCTCCTGGAGAAAGAGGAGCTAATTGACGGCACAGTGGCTCTCAAAGACCTGCATGTGGAGCTGCTCGGAGAGGTGCTCATTCATCTTTTTCCCCCTGCCTCCTTATCTCGGCCTGTCTTCACTCTGTTTATTCACCTGACTGTCCTCTGGCATTTCTCCCATTTGCTTCTTGCTCCCTGTTTCGATCATCCATTATCTTGCTTGTTGATTTTCCTTTTCTTCCTTTTATTTCAACTACCTCTGTTCCCTCTTTTTGTTACGATTGACTCTTTAATGGTTTATGGCTCTTCGAGCAGCTAATGGGTCTGCCGCATTCCTATAGAAAAGAGGAGAAAAACGATTCAAGCTCCTGTTGCCAAAATGTCACTTATCTCCTAAATGGGGATTTAGACAAAGGCTCTTCCAGTAGTATTGTGCTCGAGGCTGAATGTCGTCTTTAAAACATGCATCCTTTAGTTTGTAGTATCAGTAATGTGAGTTTAGAGGTGGAACCCTTATTCATTTTTTTTTTTTTTTTGTTCTGAGTTATGCAAAAGCTGCAAGCTTGAGCTGCATGCAATCAAGCACACTGAGTGTTGCGTAAGAGATGGATTGCTTTTCAAAAAATCTCTAACTGTACGCTAGATTGTGCAGACAGCTTGTTGATTGCAATGTCAAACAGCAAAGTCTGCAGTAATTTTGCATCAATAACTTAATGCATTTTTTATTTTAAGTAAATGTTTTTATGATGCCAGAAAGTAGAAATCTTTGTTTTACTTCTTAATTGTCTTAATTCTACATTTAGCAGAGAGTTCAACAGCACTTGGATTCAAACTGTGATTACCTTGAATAATTTACAATTTAATTTAGTTTAACTCTAGTTAATTTTTTTTAATTTATTAAAGCTACATTTTATGCTGAACATTATATCATAACTCAGCTCTTTTGCATGTAAAACTTTAGTAACTAAAGTTAAATAAAGAGGCGGATGATGCCGGTGTAGGTACCAGATCTGCTCGGGTCCTGCGCATGCCAGTGACGTTATGCTACATGATTGGCTGAACGTTGCCACATGATGTAAAACATTGTGGTTGCCCAGACAACGATAATAATTCCACGCAGGGTCAGTGTGCCAAGTCGGGAGCATCTGTAGTGTTAGCGTATCTAATGACCGATGACGTTTTACCTGATTGATAACAAAACTGAAAAAAAATCTGTTTATGGTGAAGAAAGTTACTGTTAGACCATGATATAAAGGGGGAGAGCTGGATAGCGCTGTGGCTAGCTGTGCTCAGTAGCTAACAGGTTAGCCTATTTTAGCTAAGTCAGTTAAGCTAGCATATTAAGCTACACTGCTTTTGAATTTGTGTTAACAGCAACCATTCGTTTTCTACAAGTAGAATAACTGTTTTATTTGTCTAAAATCTCTATGAAAGTCATTTTTTAAGATGTCCCGTTTATCCCGCACTGCCCTCAGATCTTTATGAAAAGGAAAAATAAAATATGCTGATACTTTTTGTCACCTTGTTAAATGGCAGAGCTTAGTTTTAGAACCCAGTACTTTCCTTCAAGACTGACAATGATTGTTTTCTACTTTCGGCTACTTTAGATCGCCAGTGAAATGTAAAATAACAGCAAATATAGGTACTCCAAACGAGATTTGATCAATAACCCTTTAAAACGCGATCCAAGAATAAAACAAAACAGAAAATTACTTTTTTTTGGTTTGAAGTCCTTATTTGGCCTTTTAACAAAATATGTAAAAAGAAAGAACAGAAATACATTTTTAATATTAATAATTTATTACTATGCGATAAGTCAAGATTATTTTTTGTGTAGTCTTCTGCCCTCTGTTATCAGGTTTATCTGATTGTGTACAATAGGATTTTGAGCAAAGTTTTTACCATTAAATTATGCAAAAAGGTGTCCGACGCAAAACATTTCAGAAACCGTATGTATCAAATATGATACATTTGGCATTACAGGGTTAAGAAACGAGTGAAATAAAGTTTGTCTGAGTGGAGTTACCATATGTTGATGTCATAGGAAGGGGCAGGGCACCGAGCAGATCTGACCACCTTAGCAGATCTGGTACCTACAACGGTTTGATCTAACAGAAATGTACATGTTTGTCTCTTTACTCTGGCAGACCTCTATAGCAGAGTGTTTGACCTACCTGGACAATGGTGTGGTGTTTGTCGGCTCCAGACTGGGAGACTCCCAGCTTGTGAAGGTAAGCAGCAAGATTTATTAAAGGTTAGTAATGCCTGTATTGAAACAAACCTGGCAGAAATCAGAGTCTTTTTCTTAATAGCTAAATTCTGCATGTATTGCATGTCACAGAGGTGTGGAAAGATGCAAAAAAAAGGTTTAACATAGCCTCTGGATATAAAGATACACTTTCACCTTGAAAGAAATGACTGAAATGAACCCAAATCATTTGTCTGGTCTTTGAAAACTTGGAAGACGGGGGAACTTGAATCTGAACTTAAATTAGTAGAACTCTGCTGACATAAATTCAGCGCCGACACAAACACATTACCTTTTGTTTGTTTTTGTTGAAATTTAGGAAGTAAAAAAGAGACAAATGAAAAATAATTGTTTAGTTAATCATAATCATGTCAGCAAATATCTCTTAACTGATAAAGCGGCTCTGGAGGCAATGTCACTTCATTATTTTAATAATGTTTATTTCTAATTTGTTTTTGTTTTTTGTTGTGTGACATGACAAGCAAAATTCCAATTTAAAAAAGTTTTTTCATTTTTTATTCTTGTAGTTTTCATACCTTCTTAGCTTAGCTGTGTATTTTATTTTGAGTCTGCATTATAAACTGATAAGCTCTTTCTAACCAAACACGAAGCGTAGTCGTTGTTGACACCTTTCCTCGCCTGTGATGACCTTTTATCCATTTGTAAAGAGAACTGTTTGTGATCGCAGCTCAACGTGGACAGCAACGAGCAGGGCTCCTATGTGACCGTCATGGAGACCTTCACCAATCTGGGGCCTATTGTGGACATGTGTGTGGTGGACCTGGAGAGGCAGGGTCAGGGCCAGGTACTTTTCCAAATCTTTTTCTTTTTTGTTTATTTTTATTTCCGTTCTTCTGTTTAACAAAGCATTAAAAGCTATGCGTCTGCTCATGTTCTTTCCCTCTAAGGTCAAGACCCTGTTCCTCTGTGCTTCCCTTGTTTTCCTATTCCTCAGGATCTCATGTTGCCAGTGACTTTGGTGCATCATTATGCACAGAGTATTGTAATATCCAGACTGGGAGCTATTACTCCTTTGGATAACGTTCACATCTATGGTAAAATGTTATGCCATTTGGAACACATAACTGAATGGCTTTTTATGTTCAATTGCAGAAGGCAGATTACTGCCTCGGTCATTCGTTGTGGTATTTTCAAAGAGCCTAATCTTTTTCATCTGCATGTTTTCTAAAAATCCTTATTTCTGTTGACCTTCAACAAATGTCACCCCATGTTTGATATGAGAAAGGAAAACAATCCTGTAATAATTTTTAATGTCACATTTAAAACGCAGGTCTAGTTTTTTTAGATCTTTTTGTTGTGGTTTTATGAGATATGTAATCCAGTGTTTCCCATTAATGAAAGAGACTAGGCTTGTCCGCCGATATTGGCAAAAAAAATGCGTATCGGCATGGCATGTAAAAATGCCGATCCAGACTGCCGATCCAGTTTTTTTTTTTTAAGATCCAGTCCGTATTTTCCAGTTTCGCCGATTGAAACGATCCATTCCACTATTTTGCGCCAATGTTCCATGAATCCGGTCCGCATTTTCCAGAAC